AAATTTATATGAGGGATGTTTATGACATCCTGACAAGAAATGCCGAATAGTTTAGCATTATTTTGTGAGCTGAATGTGTTTGGAATTGTTCACATATTTCATTGTTATAGGCAAATACAAATACAGAAGGCAGAAATAGGTAAATTTAGTCACATAAATTTGTATGATATCTCAACATGTGTGAAATTGAGTAGATATTAGTATACCAACTTAAACACCCTATATTACGTACTATGGATCAATTAACAATATTTCAACCATACGCCGGTCATATAAATTATTATATGGCAGTGATATGTTAACATTGGATAAATTTCAACACCTGAACAGGATAAAAATTTGTAAATTTCGTCACACAAAAAATATTATAACTTTATTTGCTCCGTGTTTATCGACATAGTGATGGTGATAAAGTAACATTATATACTAATTGAGGTATGATTCTTCAAAATAGGGGCAAGAAATGTAAATTTCGTCACATCAGCCATTGCATTAGTTAGATAGATTTTCTTTCATATCAACTGCCCTTATTATAGTTGGAATGGATTTATACAGGAAATATAGAAATTAGAAACCCATGCCCATTTTTCATCACATTGAAATTATACTGTTGGGGCAGGAAAAGTAAATTTCGTCACATTTCGGTAAATTAGTGATATCAAACTCAGCATTGTTAAACTTGGGTTCTGATTTGCTGAAAAATAACCTACCAATAATTCTTGGAAGAATATTGAATTCTAATCGGGGTATGGTTCTTCAAAATAGGGTCAAGAAATGTAAATTTCGTCACATACGTCATTGTAAAATTTAGATACATTTTCTTTTACATCAACTGTCCTAATTATAGTTTGAAATGATTAATTCAGAGATAAAGGAAATATAGAAACCCATGCCCATTTTTCATCACATTGAAATTATACTTTTGGGGCAGGAAAACTGAATTTCGTCACATTTCGGTAACTTAGTATAATTAAACTCAGAATTGTCAAACTTGAGTTCTGATGATCTGCTGAATAATAACCTACTAATAATTCCTGGAAGAATATTGAATTCTAATCGGGGTATGGTTCTTCAAAATAGGGTCAAGAAATGTAAATTTCGTCACATACGTCATTGTAAAATTTAGATACACTTTCTTTCACATCAACAGTCCTAATTATAGTTTAAAATGATTAATTCAGAGATAAGGAAATATAGAAACCCATGCCCATTTTTCATCACATTGAAATTATACTGCTGGGGCAGGAAAAGTGAATTTCGTCACATTTCGGTAACTTAGTAAAATTAAACTCAGAATTGTTAAACTTGAGTTCTGATTTGCTGAATAATAACCTACTAATAATTCCTGGAAGAATATTGAATTCTAATCGAGGCATGTTTCTTCAAAATAGGGTCTTGAAGAAATGTAAATTTCATCACATCAGCCATTGCATTAGTTAGATAGATTTTCTTTCATATCAACTGCCCTTATTATTATTGTGACAATTTTTACATCAACTGCCCTTAACTTGAATCAGCTCTATCCGTGCATCGTCCTTATATAGAGTTTTCCCGCCTTCCAAACCTAAATCAGATATAAATGATTTCGGCAATTCACCCAAAATTTTAAATTCCATATAATGTGACAGAATTTACATCATTTCCCAATAAGTGCATGTATTTGCTAACTTTTCAAAACAACATATTTTAGGGCTATGATTGGTAGAAGAACCATCAAATAAAGAGTTGAAAGGGTTTTGAGGACACCTCACAGTATAAAAGAGGTATCGTATTCTGAGTGTGACAAAGTTTACGAAATATTGCCTTAAAACCGTTCGATCCCTGCCCTTTAGCCAAATGTTGTATCATAATTGCATTGTTAGAATGACCTAATCTACTATATTTTAAACCAAAAAATGCTAATTGGGCAGCTATGGTTAACACAGTAACAAAAATGTGACATTTTTTACATTATAGTGCCTAAAAACAATAAATTGTATTTCTGAGCCGTGTATATGGAAGTATGGGTCACGTGGCTAATGTCCAGAACTTCTGAACACGCTATTTTTTTGGTTTACCAATATCCTTAAACTTCAACATGAACGTGTCCATTTACGATTTCGTATCATTTTGTGACGATGTTTACATCAACTGCCCTATACTTCAATCAACTGTATCCGTGTATCGTCCTTATATAGAGTTTTCCCGCCTTCCAAACCAAAATCAGATATAATTGATTTCGGAAATTCGCCCAGAATTTCAAATTCCATATAATGTGACAGAATTTACATCATTTCCCAATAGCCAAGTGCATGTATTTGTTAACTTTTCAAAACAACATATTTTAGGGCTATGATTGGCAGAAGAACTATCAAATAATGAGTTGAAAGGGTTTTGAGGACACCTCACAGTAGAAAAGAGGTCTCGTATTCTGAGTGTGACAAAGTTTACGAAATGTAGCCTTAAAGCCGTTCGATCACTGCCCTTTAGGCCTACATTAAATCATAATTGTTAGATTGACCTAATTTACTATATTTTAGACCAAAAAATGCTAATTGGGCAGCTATGGTAAACAATGTCACAAAAATGTGACATTTTTTACATAATAGTGCCAAAAAGCAATACATTTTATTTTTGAGCAGTGCATATGGAAGTATGGGTCACGTGGCTAATGTTCAGAACTTATGAACACGCTAGATTAATATATGTTAAAATTAAACCACTATCGTCAAAAACGCTGTTTTAGAAATTTACCAATTTCCTCAAACTTCAATGAACGTGTCCATATATAATCATATAAATATGTTCAATTCCATTTTGGACACTGCATGTGTATTGTGTATGTTGATAACTAAAACTAATTTATATTACCTGAGGTAGACTACAATAGTGGCCCTCTGTCCGTACGCACACCAACTAGCTTTCTCTTCTAAACCCTAAAACACAAGTCGACAATAAAAACCCAGCCTGATTGCATTTCGTAAACTATTGATACTAATAACTAAAAACATAGCAGTTATAAACCAACTTCATGTATAAATAGTAAATACCAACCTAAATTATACCAGTGGTGACCCTCTGTCCGTACGCACAACAACTGGGTAGCTCCTCTTCTAACCAGGTTTCAAACCCTAAAACACAAGTCAATGACAAAACCTGTAAATTATCACCTTACAATTATAATTATCTTACTTACAGGGTGCGTACAAAAAATCCCAGGTCAAGATTAAGGCGAGACTGTGAGTTAGGCTTATCGCACAAAATTTGTAAATAAACACAGAAAAAATATAACAAGAAAATAAATAAGAAAACAGAAAAAATTTAATTTAAAAGTTGAGGGACACACAAATTAGGAACTTAGCATGGCGTGCGATCACGTGTATTATATCACTTGTTTATATTGTGAAAACTTCGACGTAACGCGCGCGAGTTTTGTGCGAGATTTTTTTTCGAGATTCGTTTAAATCTCATACTCAGGCTTGCACTCACGCGAGACTAACCGCGAGCCTAAGGTGTCTTTTTTCAGCATCGTAGAATTAGCAGAAACGCGCGATAATATATATACCAATATTACTTCACTACACATGACCGTGTGGCTTAGTTGGTTAGCATGTCTGCTCTTAATCAGCAAATCGAGGGTCCGAATCTCGCCGAACATAATTTTACGCCCACTTTTTTTTGGCAATAATGAAGAACTAATAATTCCTCGGTAATATAATCAGCAAAGCATAGTACAGTAAGGTATGGATTAAGGGTGACACAAGTCGTTCAGCAGGTTTATTTTTAGTTCAAAATATTCTAATTCAATGTTGAAGATGACAGTAATAAATAATAGCTTATATATAAGCTATATAGCATATATATATGAATTGTGTGTAATAATAACTAAAACTAATTCAAAGTACCTGAGGTTGTAGAGAGGAAATAGTTTACATCCTGTGACAGGAACGTTATCAATGAAGGAAAAAAACACAAATTTGACAGTCCCGGTTGCTGCTAGATGCGGTTGCTCGCTCGATTTACTATCACTGCGACCAGTTAGCAATCAGGACCATCTATATATTATGCTATTAATAACTCTGCAACTTTAAAAGCAAGTTTTACTCTTCTCTAGTCTCGCTGCGAGGAGTTGATGGGATCCATTGTCAACACGACGTTATATCCACATGCTTTTGTTAATAAGATTGGGTAGCGAAGCCCCTTCAATAAGCTGCAATTTCGAGTGCGACGAATCTTGCTGCTCAGTTATCGAGCCAATGGTCAAAGCGATAAATTCTCAAATACTGGTTAAAGGTTGATGAGATTTATCTGTACACGTCAAACTGTATTCTCTAGCTCCCCGTAGTCATGTTGCTCAACAATATCAAGTATAAATAGTCACATCGACTATAGGACTTGTCAGGGGGGGGGGGGGGGTGTCAGGGTAACCACGAACAAAGGCTGTACTGTTACCCTGTAGAGTGTAGAGTGTAGATGAAAGAGTTTGTGGATTTGATGTGGACATAATATATATTATATAAACCATCGGTTAGCGAGTGATCTGGTAAATGATGTGTGTCTGAAATCTGTAATCTTGTTAGAAAAAATAATAGCTCTGTTCATTCGGTATTCTACTGCCCTTAAACTCTTAAACTTAATCGCAACACTACCTATTGTATGCAACTCGAATCTCAATTCTTAGATGGCCGATAGCCGATTGGGATCCTTTAGCCAAGTCGTATGGAAAAGTACTCTAGTCCACAATTGTTACCGTGTGTTCAAATCCACCCTTTAGAATTTTGAAAGTTGAGAAAAGGGTGGAAATTGAAATTATCAAAGTACGTTTGCACATTACGTGTAGAAGGAGGGGCTTTAGAAAAGCTTAGGCTCATTTTATTCGTACACCATATATCTTAAGGGGAAGGTGGGGGGGGGGGGCTAAAATCGATAAAATAAGGCTTACGTAATTTGTACACGATCCCTTACTTTTTAGATTTTTGAGATTTCGTTGAATATTTGACTGTTAACCTCTTATTTTTCAGGTACGGTCCGCTATTATCAGACTTCTCCTACTTTACCTCTGTAGAAGCATTCAACAACAAACTAGATGCAAACGGAGACTTACAGGTATTAAAACACAAGAAAACAACAATTTCAAGAAAACACAATGTTTTTCATATCAAGAATTGAATTGTAATCATATCCAGAAAATGAAAGCATCATTGATTCACATAGAGTAGGTCCCACTCTCCATCTTACAAAGCGATGGTGTTGTTTCGTTCCTGACACCCACTGATTTTAATCCTGAATGACCTGCCCTTGCGCATTTCTCCGTATTTAATCAGGTATTTCCCAGCATGGTCACATGAAGCGTTCCTGATCCTTACACGTCCGTGTATACCGTGTACAACGCCTGAAAAAGTGACTTTCAGCACTGCTACAATAATATTACTAATAATTTGAGACCATGACTATGGTGTGGTCTGTAACAATGATACCATCTACTTTCTACTGAAAAGAGCAGCCTTTTTACTCTGTATATAATTATATTAATAACTTACTCGAATTATCGGCGACAACCGACTTGAGGGTGAAGTTGAAGGGTAGGTAGGTGGCATTGTATTTGCTCATCTGGACCATCGATTCGTTCAGGCTCACCTGGGATAGTGGGATAAATTTGTCATTATGAGGTCTTCTTAAAACAATCTCAATAAAAAACATGTGAAATCGTAATTCAGAAGAAATAAGAATACAGCAGTGAATCCTGGACCATAACACAACAAAAAGCTTAACCTCGACTAAACCATACTTACATTCCTGTCTAGAGAGCGAATACCAAAGTTGAACCTGACATCATAGCCTTGGTGAGCGAATACTCTGCCGGGGGATCTGATCTCAACAGCGTGTCTGTTAGCCAGCACAGCGGCTAGGGCAGCTACTAACAGCAGCGAGGCAATGTAACTAAGCTTCATGATTAGGGTGGTCTCTGAGGTTGAATTAGTACGAGAATTATGATGAGAGATTGGATGTGTGGTGGGGTTTTATAGTGTGCAGGCTTGACAGTGGAGGGAGGTGTTAGGAGAGCTCTCTTTGTGCTAAACGCGTTATTTGCCAGCACCTGCCTGATTCTTTAAGACATTTAACTAGCTTCGTTTTTTACGGATAAGTGGGAAGTAGGTCAAAGACCGACCACCGCTTAAGAGCCGGTTAAGAGCCGTTTAAGAGCCGTTTAAGAGCCGTTTAAGAACCGCTTAAGAGCCGCTTAAGAACCGTTTAAGAACCGGCTAAGAACCGGCTAAGAACCGCTTAAGAACCGGTTAAGAGCCGGTTAAGAGCCGGTTTAGAGCCGGTCAAGAGCCGTTGAGCGGCCGCTTAAGAACCGTCTAAGGACCGCTTAAGAACCGCTTAAGAACCGTTGAAGAACCGCCTCTAAAACTGCATTTAAACAACCTAAGAACCAACTTAGAGCCGTTTAAGAACCGGTTAAGAACCGTCTAAGGACCGCTTAAGAACCGGTTAAGAACCGCCTATAGAAAACAGATTTATAAAGTCTACTCTGATTTCTACTCATCTGTGGTGGACACGATGCATCGAACTGGATGCGGCCTATACGAAGCCCTCGACAGTATCAACGTGAAGCGTGGCTTCTGGAGGAACGTCAGACCCATCGCTGAAGCCCTCCTGGTGTCTCCTACACGATTTAAGGAGACGCTACGACACCACGGTAGCACTCTCAACCTGAAGCGTGCCAAGACCTTGGCGGCAGCAGTCCTCAACACCACTTCCGGACAACAGAAGCTGAAGACCTTGAACATAGATGGGGTGGCATTGGTACCCTTGGCGGGATACTGATTTATCTGTAAACTCATTCTGTAATTTAACATTGTAATTGATTTAACACAGTAATTGATGTACATTATAACTATTACTTCAATTTATTCATGAAATATCGTCTATTCATTCTTAACCAATTGTAAATCTGAAAATCTGAAAATTTATTCATGAAATATCGTCTATTCATTCTTAATCAATTGTAAATCTGAAAATTAACATATTAAAAGTCTGAAATTGACGGGAGAATTTTTGTCTACAAACTTCTCACTGTTTACTTGTTTAGCAATCGTGTCTGGGTGTTTAGAGACGGTTCTACAACGGTTCTTAACCGGTTACTTATCTAGGTTGATAAGTAGATTTATAAATCTGTTTTCTATAGGCGGTTCTTAACCGGTTAAGAGCCGGTTCTTATCCGGTTCTTAACCGGTTCTTAAACGGCTCTAAGTTTATTAGTAGATTTATAAATCTGTTTTCTATAGGCGGTTCTTAACCGGTTCTTAAGCGGTCCTTAGACGGTTCTTAACCGGTTCTTAAACGGCTCTAAGTTGGTTCTTAGGTTGTTTAAATGCAGTTTTAGAGGCGGTTCTTCAACGGTTCTTAAGCGGTTCTTAAGCGGTCCTTAGACGGTTCTTAAGCGGCCGCTCATCGGCTCTTAACCGGCTCTAAACCGGCTCTTAACCGGTTCTTAGCCGGTTCTTAGCCGGTTCTTAAACGGCTCTTAAGCGGTTCTTAAACGACTCTTAAACGGCTCTTAACCGGCTCTTAAGCGGTGGTCGCTGTTTGCCCTATTAGCCGGATAAGTTAAGAATTAAGTTAGCATTTCCACTTCTATTATGAAAGAAATCTCACATCTGCTCTGTTTCTAGAGTCACTCAGAGTTAAACACATGATTGTAACAATATTACTGGAATTACTCCTTTTCTCGGTCAAGAAACAGTGGTAGTGCGCGCCACACGTGGTAGTTGATGAGGTCGGTAACTACAAAGTGCCACATTGTGCGTGTGCGACTCAGATACGCGATGACTATCCCTTTGTTGTCAGCTGGAGTCAACATTTAGCACTCTTCACACCAATCTGTGATTTATTACAGTATTGTAAAAGCGCCTACTTCCCAACTTGTGTCAAACACTGGACACATGTTTCCCAATTTCCATCAAGTCCAAACTCCTGATTTCTCAACATAAACCTCCTGCTTCCTCAATAGTGCTCCTGCTTCCTCAATAGTGTCCAATAAACCTCAATAGTGTCCAACACACCTCAATAGTGTCCAACACACCTCAATAGTGTCCAACAAACCTCAATAGTGTCCAACACACCTCAATAGTGTCCAACACACCTCAATAGTGTCCAACACACCTCAATAGTGTCCAATAAACCTCAATAGTGTCCAACACACCTCAATAGTGTCCAACACACCCCAATAGTGTCCAACACACCTCAATAGTGTCCAACAAACCTCAATAGTGTCCAACAAACCTCAATAGTGTCCAACAAACCTCAATAGTGTCCAACACACCTCAATAGTGTCCAACAAACCTCAATAGTGTCCAACACACCTCAATAGTGTCCAACAAACCTCAATAGTGTCCAACACACCTCAATAGTGTCCAACACACCTCAATAGTGTCCAACACACCTCAATAGTGTCCAATAAACCTCAATAGTGTCCAACAAACCTCAATAGTGTCCAACACACCTCAATAGTGTCCAACACACCTCAATAGTGTCCAACACACCTCAATAGTGTCCAACAAACCTCAATAGTGTCCAATACACCTCAATAGTGTCCAACACACCTCAATAGTGTCCAACAAACCTCAATAGTGTCCAACAAACCTCAATAGTGTCCAACAAACCTCAATAGTGTCCAACAAACCTCAATAGTGTCCAACAAACCTCAATAGTGTCCAACAAACCTCAATAGTTTCCAACACACCTCAATAGTGTCCAACACACCTCAATAGTGTCCAACACACCTCAATAGTGTCCAACACACCTCAATAGTGTTCAACACACCTCAATAGTGTCCAACACACCTCAATAGTGTCCAACACAACACAATAGTGTCCAATAAACCTCAATAGTGTCCAACACACCTTAATAGTGTCCAACACACCTCAATAGTGTCCAATACACCTCAATAGTGTCCAACAAACCTCAATAGTGTCCAATAAACCTCAATAGTGTCCAACAAACCTCAATAGTGTCCAATAAACCTCAATAGTGTCCAATACACCTCAATAGTGTCCAACAAACCTCAATAGTGTCCAACACACCTCAATAGTGTCCAACACACCTCAATAGTGTCCAACACAACACAATAGTGTCCAACACACCTCAATAGTGTCCAACACACCTCAATAGTGTCCAACACACCTCAATAGTGTCCAACAAACCTCAATAGTGTCCAATAAACCTCAATAGTGTCCAATAAACCTCAATAGTGTCCAACAAACCTCAATAGTGTCCAATAAACCTCAATAGTGTCCAACACACCTCAATAGTGTCCAACAAACCTCAATAGTGTCCAATACACCTCAATAGTGTCCAACACACCTCAATAGTGTCCAACAAACCTCAATAGTGTCCAACAAACCTCAATAGTGTCCAACAAACCTCAATAGTGTGCAACAAACCTCAATAGTGTCCAACAAACCTTAATAGTGTCCAACAAACCTCAATAGTGTCCAACACACCTCAATAGTGTCCAACACACCTCAATAGTGTCCAACAAACCTCAATAGTGTTCAAAACACCTCAATAGTGTCCAACAAACGTCAATAGTGTCCAACACACCTCAATAGTGTCCAACAAACCTCAATAGTGTCCAACACACCTCAATAGTGTCCAACACACCTCAATAGTGTCCAACACACCTCAATAGTGTCCAATAAACCTCAATAGTGTCCAACAAACCTCAATAGTGTCCAACACACCTCAATAGTGTCCAACACACCTCAATAGTGTCCAACACACCTCAATAGTGTCCAACAAACCTCAATAGTGTCCAATACACCTCAATAGTGTCCAACACACCTCAATAGTGTCCAACAAACCTCAATAGTGTCCAACAAACCTCAATAGTGTCCAACAAACCTCAATAGTGTCCAACAAACCTCAATAGTGTCCAACAAACCTCAATAGTGTCCAACAAACCTCAATAGTGTCCAACACACCTCAATAGTGTCCAACAAACCTCAATAGTGTCCAATAAACCTCAATAGTGTCCAATAAACCTCAATAGTGTCCAACAAACCTCAATAGTGTCCAATAAACCTCAATAGTGTCCAACACACCTCAATAGTGTCCAACAAACCTCAATAGTGTCCAATACACCTCAATAGTGTCCAACACACCTCAATAGTGTCCAACAAACCTCAATAGTGTCCAACAAACCTCAATAGTGTCCAACAAACCTCAATAGTGTGCAACAAACCTCAATAGTGTCCAACAAACCTTAATAGTGTCCAACAAACCTCAATAGTGTCCAACACACCTCAATAGTGTCCAACACACCTCAATAGTGTCCAACAAACCTCAATAGTGTTCAAAACACCTCAATAGTGTCCAACAAACGTCAATAGTGTCCAACACACCTCAATAGTGTCCAACACACCTCAATAGTGTCCAACACACCTCAATAGTGTCCAACACAACACAATAGTGTCCAATAAACCTCAATAGTGTCCAACACACCTCAATAGTGTTCAACACACCTCAATAGTGTCCAATACACCTCAATAGTGTCCAACAAACCTCAATAGTGTCCAACACACCTCAATAGTGTCCAACACACCTCAATAGTGTCCAACACACCTCAATAGTGTCCAACACACCTCAATAGTGTCCAACACACCTCAATAGTGTCCAACACACCTCAATAGTGTCCAACACACCTCAATAGTGTCCAACACACCTCAATAGTGTCCAACACACCTCAATAGTGTCCAACACACCTCAATAGTGTTCAACACACCTCAATAGTGTCCAACACACCTCAATAGTGTCCAACACAACACAATAGTGTCCAATAAACCTCAATAGTGTCCAACACACCTTAATAGTGTCCAACACACCTCAATAGTGTCCAATACACCTCAATAGTGTCCAACAAACCTCAATAGTGTCCAATAAACCTCAATAGTGTCCAACAAACCTCAATAGTGTCCAATAAACCTCAATAGTGTCCAATACACCTCAATAGTGTCCAACAAACCTCAATAGTGTCCAACACACCTCAATAGTGTCCAACACAACACAATAGTGTCCAACACACCTCAATAGTGTCCAACACACCTCAATAGTGTCCAACACACCTCAATAGTGTCCAACAAACCTCAATAGTGTCCAACACACCTCAATAGTGTCCAACACACCTCAATAGTGTCCAACAAACCTCAATAGTGTCCAATAAACCTCAATAGTGTCCAATAAACCTCAATAGTGTCCAACAAACCTCAATAGTGTCCAATAAACCTCAATAGTGTCCAACACACCTCAATAGTGTCCAACAAACCTCAATAGTGTCCAATACACCTCAATAGTGTCCAACACACCTCAATAGTGTCCAACAAACCTCAATAGTGTCCAACAAACCTCAATAGTGTCCAACAAACCTCAATAGTGTCCAACAAACCTCAATAGTGTCCAACAAACCTTAATAGTGTCCAACAAACCTCAATAGTGTCCAACACACCTCAATAGTGTCCAACACACCTCAATAGTGTCCAACAAACCTCAATAGTGTCCAAAACACCTCAATAGTGTCCAACAAACGTCAATAGTGTCCAACACACCTCAATAGTGTCCAACACACCTCAATAGTGTCCAACACACCTCAATAGTGTCCAACACACCTCAATAGTGTCCAACACACCTCAATAGTGTCCAACACACCTCAATAGTGTTCAACACACCTCAATAGTGTTCAACACACCTCAATAGTGTCCAATACACCTCAATAGTGTTCAACACACCTCAATAGTGTCCAATACACCTCAATAGTGTCCAACAAACCTCAATAGTGTCCAACACACCTCAATAGTGTCCAACACACCTCAATAGTGTCCAACACACCTCAATAGTGTCCAACACACCTCAATAGTGTCCAACACACCTCAATAGTGTCCAACACACCTCAATAGTGTCCAACAAACCTCAATAGTGTCCAATAAACCTCAATAGTGTCCAATAAACCTCAATAGTGTCCAACAAACCTCAATAGTGTCCAATAAACCTCAATAGTGTCCAACACACCTCAATAGTGTCCAACACACCTCAATAGTGTCCAACACACCTCAATAGTGTCCAACAAACCTCAATAGTGTCCAACACACCTCAATAGTGTCCAACAAACCTCAATAGTGTCCAACACACCTCAATAGTGTTCAACACACCTCAATAGTGTCCAACAAACCTCAATAGTGTCCAATAAACCTCAATAACCCCACAACTTGTTCCACCAGGACAGAGACGAGGAATTCAGAGAAAACCACCTCGGTCTACTCAAGAGGTTCTATAAGGTGTTCGAGAGTGTCTACAAGTATATCTGCGATATCAACAGGTTCATTTACAATGCTGTCAACTGTATAGTAAACCTGGGGGAAGCCAAGGGGTATTTTGGGAAATACTTTAATGGGTTTTGGAAATTCCCCATAATAAAGTCCCACATAATATCACAAATACCCCTTGGCTTCCCCCCTAAGCCATAGTACTATATTAACAGGTAACGAGGGAGCTTGAAGTCGTAACTACCTCTCACGCGCTCTTATTTAGGATCAAAATCTTGATTTAACCTTTTCTTTTTCGTATTTTTTCCCGATCCATGACTCAAAGTGCCGAAGGCGCAAAAGAGTCAAGGACAAGGGTTAGCGATCGAGGTTTTTTTTGTATATGGTAGCTTTGCGACCGTGCGTGCGTGCGTGCGTGCGTGCCCTCGCCCCCAGTCTAGTTATCGCCCACGTGTCTGCCTGCGCAAAGTTATTTTGCGCGATCATCTGAATTAAACAATTGTTGGCGCGCAGTGCTGAAATGTTCAAGTACATTGTTAATTTTACCATGTACGCATCCCGATAGGGACTAATTGATAGCATTGTATTATTATTTTGAGTTAGTATTACTATTTTGCACAGATCCGTGTCAGGTTGCATAAACAATAAACATATAGTTACATAGAAATATACACGATTTTCAAATTCAATATAGAATTATATCAACTGGGCGGCGCTCGGCCTGTCACTCCGCCATATCTGCATGCTTATAAACAGCAAAGACTGGGGTCCCCAGGTGGTACTGGTATGGAATATGATAGAATACTTCATCCCGGATCGGGAAATTTAGCGGCCATCCACAAAAGAAAAGCGGCCGCATTTCTTGTTTGTGTGGTTAGGTGGTTGTTTAATGTTTGGGTGGTATCAATAATGCTGTGTGTCAGGTTTATGGAGGAGTTGGAAGAGGGTATCTACATACAACAGTCACTGGAGACTGTCTTCATGGATACTGAAGGCAAACAGGTACCAACTGTGGGAAAAGGTTGCCAACTTTATAATAATATGTAGGGGTACTGTTAGCCAATCCAACAAAATACCCAAACGTTCTCATCTCAAGATTTAACTAGTTAACAACCTCTTTTCGCACAACCTTCTCCAATAATACCGCAGTTGTTATGTGAGAGCCTGTACCTGTACGGGGTAATGTTGCACGTGATCGACATTAAATACAACGGCACTGTCAGAGAAAGGATCCTGGTCGCTTACCACAGGTTCATTTTCACTTAACATTCGTTTTGTAAACATGTGTGAAAATTAGTGATATATAACGAATATCAAAATATTTTTTACATTTATAATAATTGATAACTGTATGTCAACCCCACATTAACCAGTAATCCTCTTTAGGGGTCGTTCACATATTACGTAATCAATATTTTGGCAATTTTTCCCCCCCCCCCCCCTCCCCTTCGTAATCAACCGTAATCAAGACCGAACCCCCCCCCTATATAACGTAATCAAGGTTTGACCCCCCCCCCCCCCCCCGTAATCAACCGTAAGCATTTGAAACCCCCCCCCCCTCTGCTGATTAGGTAATATGTGAACGACCCCTTAGTGAACTTGAGGTCGGAGAAGCTGTAAGAAATGGCTGAATTTACCGTATTTAGTTTCAGCATTCCTCCTTGTTTACTTACTTGTCTCAAGATATAGTAGTCCCGTAGTTAAACTGTGCTACACTGTACTCTTATCGAGGTACATAGATAAGATAATAGTTTATAAGCTATTATCTTATATATGAACCTCGATAAGAGGTACATAGAATTAGATAGGAGTATGTTTTATTTTTGATATAAAGTAAATTGCAATATTTTTCACATCTAAGAGAAATAAAACTCAATATTCAATGCAACTTTTTAAACTTATGGTCATTCAACAAAATTTACTCGTGATCGTATCACACCTTACCCCTGCGTTACCCAGTGCAGTTTCATACAAGTTAGCATTATTGGGGTCCCTGCTGGGGTTGAGGGTTCAGCTGATCGTTTTCCAAAATCAACAAATGGTTCACCGTTCTGCTGGGGTTCAGCTGATCGTTTTCCAAAATCAACAAATGGTTCACCGTTCTGCTGGGGTTCAGCTGATCGTTTTCCAAAATCAACAAATGGTTCACCGTTCTGCTGGGGTTCAGCTGATCGTTTTCCAAAATCAACAAATGGTTCACCGTTCTGCTGGGGTTCAGCTGATCGTTTTCCGAAATCAACAAATGGTTCACCGTTCTGCTGGGGTTCAGCTGATCGTTTTCCAAAATCAAGAAATGGTTTACCGTTCTGCTGGGGTTCAGCTGATCGTTTTCCAAAATCAACAAATGGTTCACCGTTCTGCTGGGGTTCAGCTGATCGTTTTCCAAAATCAACAAATGGTTCACCGTTCTGCTGGGGTTCAGCTGATCGTTTTCCAAAATCAACAAATGGTTCACCGTTCTGTTGGGGTTCAGCTGATCGTCTTATTGGAGGCTGACACTGAGTCAGAGCGATCAGTCCTAGCACTAGTAGAAAACAGAATACTTTCGTCATTGCTGCGGGTCTGGTGCTTTTTTTAAAGGCTAAAACAATAGGATACGAATATGGCAATACTTAAATAGTTCAACTTTTTTACAAATATCACTCGATATCAGATAAAAATAAGATTTAAAAAAAAATGAAATGCGGAGTTACGTGAGACTGAAACCTGGTAAAAGGAACAGAACTGAAAGTTAAAGCCCTGATAAAGCAAATACAACCGTGTTCTAAGGAGAAATCTTAATCAGTCGTATCAGAAGTCGTTCAAAAGGTAGATCAAAATAGTCTATTCTATTATATTGTTAAAGATAAAAAGGAAAAAAGCAACCAGCTGCTAAAATTTAACGCTGAAAAAAACCCGGAAATCGGCATATTTAGGTGTCTAAAAAACCATGTTAATAGAGATCTAAAATTTGTTGAACACCAGACTCTAACTTTGTTCACGATAATTATCGTAAACCAAAGAAGGGAGCGGGTGCCTTAAATTGATACAGTCTGGGCGAAGATTCCGCCATATTTTTCCCGGTCAAAAATTTTACCAGTCATAAAAAAACCCGCCGACTCAGATTATGGGGTTCCAAGGGGGTGGTGATCATCATATTTTACCTGAAGTCTCATATGTGCTAGAGAAGACTTTTGAAGCAGTGGATGGAGGGCTGTAACTTTATTGGCGGTTGCTACCATAATTTCGTTATAAAAATCACAATTTGGTTATAGAAATCAGATTTCAGGGTGGACCGTGATTCTCACTTTTCTTGCCCATGAAGTGAGTAAACTGTGCCACTATTTCATGGTCCACGGTGGATTGATTACTGGAGCAGTTGAAGATGCAAAGCCAAGACGTTCCCCAATACCAAGCGGTGGGCAGGAAATTAAGCTCCCGCGGCTGACCTTCAGAGCAGTAGCCCCATTAGCGGACAAAATGAAAGTCTTGTTAAGACAACAATACAACTTCGAATTTGACGGTCAGCAGCAGGGGGATATCAATAATGATAATGGAGGGGACATTAGCGATAATGAGAATGAGAATACGCTTTAATGAAGATTTGACTTATTATTGCTATAGATTTATTTTCCTTTAAATACTAGACGTGTCTTTTTTTCTATTTCTGAGTAATATCAGTAACTGTAAATTGAAATAACTTTTTTAACAAGTAACAAAAACAGAAATTTCGGTTGAAAATTTGTTGACCTCTGAAAAAAAACTTGAAAGGTCGGCCACCGGTAAATACATGACCGGGATAATTTGGCGGGTTTTGGGAAATTCCGCCATATTTTTCCCGGTTATTAATTTTCCCAGTCATAAATTAACCCGCTATAATATTCCCGAGTAAGGTAGGTAAACTGTGCTACACTACAGTCTGTTTCTATGATCTGTGATAAATTTAAATTAAATTAAAATTTGTCACTGTTCAAGTTAAATAGGGCCGTCCAAAAAAGAATTTCACTGTAGTTTGCGTGCATCAAGATACCTTACTAGCTTGCATCAAGATATAACTTATAGTATGGTAGGTAAACTGTGCTACACTTCAGTCTGTTACTATGATCTGTGATAAGGTTTGACCCCCCCCCCCCCCCCCCCCCCCCCCCCCCGTAATCAAGACCCAACCACCCTCCTATATTACGTAATCAAGATTAGACACCCCCCCCCCCCCCCCCCCCCCCGTAATCAAGACCCAACCCCCCTCCTATATTACGTAATCAAGATTAGACACCCCCCCCCCCCCCCCGTTAATGGTTAGGCACAGAGCTGCAAACCTGACCTACGTCGAAGCCCTGACTAAATTTTGTCAGTTCCCAAGCATGAAGACACTACCCGCTGTAAGTGTAAGAGCTGCTTTGAAAGAGCTCTAGGTTCTTAAACGTATCTAGATATTGTGTAATTTTGTTGTTGATTTAATTTTATTACTGATTTAATTTTATAACTGATTTAATTTATTACTATCTATTACATGTTCATGTTAAGTCATTTATTTATTAAAAGCTATCACAACGGATTAATGAATGAAATAATCGCAAAGCACTTACTAAACGAAAATTGGTTTAAAAAACGAACATTTTGATTACCGTACATAATTAACGAAAATTGTCCAATCGGTATTTCGAAAATCGGTAAGAAATTAAAATTTTGATCACGCAATCAACGACCAAACCCCCCCCCCCCCCCCCCCCCCCCCGTAATCAACCGTAAGCATTTGAAACCCCCCCACCCCCTGCTGATTACGTAATATGTGAACGACCCCTTAGTGAACTTGAGGTCGGAGAAGCTGTAAGAAATGGCTTCAACATTCCTCCTTGTTTCAACATTCCTCCTTGTTTACTTACTTGTCTCAAGATATATATTAGTCCCGTAGTTAAACTGTGCTACACTGTACTCTTATCGAGGTACATAGATAAGATAATAGTTTATAAGCTATTATCTTATCTATGAACCTCGATAAGAGGTACATAGAATTAGATAGGAGTATGTTTTATTTTTGATATAAAGTAAATTGCAATATTTTTCACATCTAAGAGAAATAAAACTCAATATTCAATGCAACTTTTTAAACTTATGGTCATTCAACGAAATTTACTCGTGATCGTATCACACCTTACCCCTGCGTTACCCAGTGCAGTTTCATACATTCATGATCGTTTTCCAAAATCAACAAATGCTTCACCGTTCTGCTGGGGTTCAGCTGATCGTTTTCCAAAATCAACAAATGCTTCACCGTTCTGCTGGGGTTCAGCTGATCGTTTTCCAAAATCAACAAATGCTTCACCGTTCTGCTGGGGTTCAGCTGATCGTTTTCCAAAATCAACAAATGCTTCACCGTTCATCCCCCCCCCCCCCCCCCCCCCGTAATCAACCGTAAGCATTTGGAAACCCCCCCCCCCCCCCTCGGCTGATTACGTAATATGTGAACGACCCCTTAGATATAACGCAAACAAGGCAGCAGTAGACTCTCACATTAACCAGTAACCCTCTCTAGATATAACGCAAACAAGGCAGCAGTAGACTCTCACATTAACCAGTAACCCTCTCTAGATATAACGCAAACAAGGCAGCAGTAGACTCTCACATTAACCAGTAACCCTCTCTAGATATAACGCAAACAAGGCAGCAGTAGACTCTCACATTAACCAGTAACCCTCTCTAGATATAACGCAAACAAGGCAGCAGTAGACTCTCACATTAACCAGTCACCCTCTTTAGATATAACGCAAACAAGGCAGCAGTAGACTCTCACATTAACCAGTAACCCTCTTTAGATATAACGCAAACAAGGCAGCAGTAGACTCTCACATTAACCAGTAACCCTCTCTAGATATAACGCAAACAAGGCAGCAGTAGACTCTCACATTAACCAGTAACCCTCTTTAGATATAACGCAAACAAGGCAGCAGTAGACTCTCACATTAACCAGTAACCCTCTCTAGATATAACGCAAACAAGGCAGCAGTAGACTCTCACATTAACCAGTAACCCTCTCTAGATATAACGCAAACAAGGCAGCAGTAGACTCTCACATAGATGATGTGTGTAAGTTGTTACGGAGCACAGGGGTAGGAGGAGGAGGAGCTTCACGGAGACCTGCTAACTACCCTATAAGTTACTTCGGCAGGGTTCCTATCAGACAGGACTTTGTTAACATGGCTATAGGACGACTCAGGTTGGTCACTGTCTTGGTTCCCTTTGTCTTTACTTATGAGCTTATGGTCTCTGAGTTTAATTTTGGGTTTTTGTCACAAGTAATGCTCAGATGTTTAATTAATTGAAGTAAATTTACCATATAGATTTGGTAATGGTATTATCCGACATCAATACTAGATGTACACTGTACATTGTACACTGTGCATTGTACATTGTACATTACATATCCGACCTTTTGTAATCTAGCTAACAAACTGTCCCCAGATCAGATGATGTGTATAACCAGATGTCGAACTACCCTCTCCCGGAACACAGATCAGTGGCCCTGTCCACCCAGGCCAGCATGCTCTACATCATCCTCTACTTCGCTCCGGACATCCTCCACAACCAGCAGGCAGTCATGAGGGAGATTGTAGATAAACATTTCCCTGATAACTGGGTTCTGGATGTTTACATGGGTCAGTACTGGGCTATATAAACCCTGAGGCTATATAAACCCTGATGGAATATAAACCCTGAGGCTATATAAACCCTGAGGCTATATAAACAATCTAACAGGATCCTGTCACTAACCACTAATAACTAATTCCACTACTAAGAGGGAATATAATAAACAATCTACAGGGTGATTCAAAAGCTTGGCGAGGATGTTCTTTTTGGATACTTCTCTTTTAATTTGAAACACCCTGTAACGGTATCCTGCCACTAACCAGTACCACCCTCTGTTTGAACGAGAATTTTCTTCTTTAAATAAAAGCATATTTGGGTATACATTCAAAATCAGGAAATAAAACCATACCTTAATTAATACATATTTATATTCAGGCCTTACAGTAAACCTTGTTCTGGAATGGGAGGGATTTCGTGCCGCACGCACCGCACTCAACAACACGTTCGACAACGTGCGCGCGGTGTCGCGCAAGCACGTGCAAAGCATCCCCAAACTCTGCGACAGAGCCCTCAAGCTACTTCAAGAGGGAGTGCTAGTCGAGGACTACGTTTTGGACCACATTCCTAAGCTGATGACGTTTCTAAGAGAGTGTAACTGTACGTTGAGATGGATGATGTTACACACAGCTACCCCTCCCTCTCAAAAGAAGTGTAAACAACTTTATGACACCGTCATGTCTCATAATGTTAGCTTTTTTAGTTAATTCATCACATTTTTAGAGAGACTTTACTTAAGTAAATACTTTCCTGTTCAACGATATGGTTTATACAATATTCTCCAAAACAGAAAAGAATCGATGCGTTATACTTACTAGTTAACTAGTATACTATAAACCGTCTCGCTTTATATATGTAGTAAGATACGTTATAGCGTTCGCACAAAAGTTAAGATCTGACACCCCACCTCTCAGACACAGCTAAGTGAGGTGGTGGCACTACTTCTAAACACGGCTCAGCTGGAACTAGTGCTGAAGGACATGTTCAAGTTCCTCCTGGACAGGAAGGAAGAGAAGTGGAACTCTTGTCAGAAGGAAACGGGGGAGCGACTCCTTGAGTTAGCTGACGTGTTCAGTGGCACGAAACCTCTTGCTAGGGTTGACAAGAACGATAATCTACAGGTTAGTTATTTGAGGGAATATTTCCTTTAGAGGTAGGGCTTGCCTTTCTATAGCAACATAGTTGGAAATTCAGACACGAGGAAAGTTTATATTTCATTAACAAGATATATGAATAATATATTATAAGAAATGTTGGCAGAGCTTTACTAACCGCTTGAAACTGAGCCCAGGCGTGGTTCCGAGAGATAGCAAAGCAGACGGCTGATATTGACTACAATGATCACACGATGGCGGGAAGGAAGATAGCCCAGCTGATACAGGCTATAGAGGAGGTCCAGGAGTTCCATCAGCTGGAGAGTAACTGGCAGATCAGGCAGTTCCTCACCGACACCAGGTCTTATCTTCATCAGGTCAGATGAACTGGATTATCTTCTTAAATTCTCATGGACTATGGACTCTGCGGAGGGTGCATGCTAATTACAGTCACATTATTCGTGTTTCTAGCTGTTAGTATTATATCCGGCAGAGTATCAGATTGTTTAATTTAATTCTCATTTTTCAGATGATCCGAACAATAAACGTAAAAGAAGAGGTGCTGATTCAGATTCAGATAATTGGAGACTTATCCTACGCCTGGTACATAATAGACGACTACACCAAGTTCATGCAGAACCTCATCAAGAAAGACCCAGGATTGGTTAAGAAGCTCCGAGCGACCTTCCTGAAACTGGGCTCAGCTCTGGATCTGCCCCTGGTGAGAATAGGAGAAGCAGGTACTGAAGACTTCAGGTCCGTCAGTGAGTGCTACAGCAAAGCTCTGGTATCCTACGTCAGGAAAGTTCTCCAAATCATCCCCCAGTCCATGTTCTCGTTGCTGGAGGAGATTGTTAAAGTTCTGACTCATGACATGGTGGAGGTTCCTACCAGACTTGACAAGGACAAGCTGAAGGACTACGCTCAGCTCAATGAGCGGTACAAGGTTGCTAAACTTACCCACGCTATATCTGTCTTTACTGATGGTATGTTGATGATGAAGTCTACTCTGGTAGGTGTGATTAAGATAGATCCTAAGAAGCTTCTAGAAGATGGAATAAGGAAGGAGCTGGTTACGAGGGTAGCTAAAGCATTCCACAATGCGCTGGTTTTCAATCAGAAGGGAGTGTCTAATGATTTGCCCCAGGTTCTCTTACGGTTATCTTCAAAAACTGACGGTTTTAGGCGGTCATTCGAGTACATTCAGGATTATCTGAATATATTTGGGCTGAAGATGTGGCAGGAAGAGGTTATGAGGATTATTAACTACAACGTGGAGCAGGAATGCAATACATTCCTTCGTCA